TTCAACAAACAGATATGAATTATAATGAAATCCATTAATATCCTGACATCCTATCCAGTCACCTTGCACTCTTCTGCTCCTTCATTTAATTAACTGTTATCATTCATTCAGAGCTCAGCTCAAGTGTTAGCTCACCCAGCAAATTTTCCCTGACCTCCCAGACCAAGTCAAGTCCCCTGTTATACTCTCATGGTACCCTGTAATTCTTTCATAATTATAATTACATAATACTGTGACTGCTTATTTAATATGTTTTAGGCTTTGTAAGGTCTTTGAGAACAAGGACTTATCTCTCTTATTTTCTATTTTAGCCTAGAACCAAGCACAAGAGATTTACTGAATGAATGAATGAATGAATGAATGATTATGGAATTAGAAGAATTTTCTGGTTTATATATTTATTAAAATAAACTGAACACTGTTACAGACTCTTTATTCTTTTAATAGTATCACCATGTTGCTATTTCCTCATTTTTCTTCTGGTATTAAAAATACAATTAACTTTTTCTGTTGAAGTAAATTCAAATAATGCAGGAAGTTTTCCTTATAAGAAACATTTCTCTTTGACAAACCATTAAGATAGTTTACTTTCTTTTGCCTAACACTGTGCAAAAATTTGCTTCTGCTTAATACATTATTTTTTTCATTAGCAGTAGTAAAAAAGATAGCAAGCAATGAAACAGAAACTAACAAATGAGTTAAATTAAAAAAAAAAAAGTACTTCTGAAAACCTTAAAAGCATTTCCCATTATAACACGAACGTTAACAAAGATTATATAGGTGAAAGGTGGGGGAAAAATCCAAACAGGCACTGAAACAAGAATAATACTTCTTGCTTACAAATAATGTATTTCTTTTGATACTTATTTTCTTTTCCTCAGAAATCAGTAGAAAATAACTAAAACTGTTTCAGTAGTTTTCAAAATGACAAAATTATTCTTTGTAGTGGACATCTGTTATGTTTGTTTACCTAGCAGCTCTCACACACCCTCATTTACTTCTTGAGGGAACTTGCTTACCCCTCCAACATTTCTATGGTTCTGATTGGCCTGTAAATGTAGTATCCTCGTTCCCCCAGCCTGGGGTGAGCTGATCATCAGACTGAGCCAAAAATCTTACTATACTCTCCTAAACACAGCTATTAGTCAAAGCAGGAGGCACATAAGTTGGCTGAGCTCAAGTTCCCAAAAATATTTTGAGGATTACAAATGTGGGGGGAGGGAGGTTCTTCTCTCTTGGTTAATAAACTAAGCTTAATCACAGAACTGTCAGGAGCCCTGAATGAATGAAGACAAAAAAGGGAAGACAGAAAGGGGGAGAACAGTTCTAGATGATATTTTATTCTCTGGATTCAGAAAATCCTGAAACTAGTTCTAGTCCTTGCTTCTCCATGATGTAGTCATCTAATAAATCCCCCCACACCCTTCTTTTTTTGCTTAAGCTAGCTTGAGCACGTTTGCCAATTATAATCAGAAAGTCCTAATACATCTCCCATATTCATTTGGGCATCATAAAAAAAATAAAAGGAATATATATTTTTAAATAATATAGTTTTCTTTACACTGCATTGCTCTTACAAATCTGTAAGGTTATATTCTAAACTCTTTCCTCCTACAACTTTTTTTCAGCTTCATTGGGGTATAATTGACAAACAGAAATTATATATATTCAAGGTATACAACTTGATGTTTTGATATACATATACGCAGTGAAATTATCACCATAATCAAGCTAGTTAACATATCCATCACCTCACACAGTTCTCATATAATTTTAAATATCTACAAATAAACTTTTAAAGAAACACAATGTACATGTACTCTTTTAAATTTTATATACATATATAAAGCAAAAAGACCATATACTTCATATATATGAAATTAATACATCTTCATGATTTAAAAATGCTAACTGTACAGAAAGAATTCAGTCTTCTCTCTCACTAGTCCAATGGCCTAGAATTAACAACTTTCAAAATTTTTAATAGCTGTTGATAATAAGCTTTGTCAGTATTTCTTTATTTACCAATTTTAAAATGTTACCTTTTGATTTCCTGCTGTGGGAGAAGAGAATTTAACTCCTCACACAACCAATTCCACATTCCCATTAGTTATTATTTCTTCTATTATTGATCTTTGTAACTTTACTTAAACATTTATTTATGGTTTCATGTACTACTGATACTCCGTTTTGTAAAATAAGAATAGAAGGATATTTTTTAGTGCCCTTATTCTTCACTTTAACTTGTAACTTCCATCAAATAATCTTATATTGAATGGTTAATAATTTCCTTCTGTTCTGTAACTATGATTATTTTTGTACTCTATGAAGTTTAAAGTCAGTAAACATCATTTACATTAAGAAAACTATGTAGGGGTGCCTGGGTGGCTCAGTCATTAAGCGTTTGCCTTTAGCTCAGGTCATGATCCCAGGGTCCTAGGATCGAGCCCCGCATCGGGCTCCCTGCTCTGCGGGAAGCCTGCTTCTCCCTCTGCCACTCCCTCTGCTTGTGTTCCCTCTCTTGCTGTGTTTTTCTCTGTTAAATAAATAAAATCTTAAAAAAAAAAAACTATGTAAATAACACTTAGTATATATTGAAGTAGTTTGCTATAATTCTGTGTTTTTTCCTGTTCAGATTATTTTTAATTTTCCTGGAGTATCTAATTCCCTTTTTATTTTGCCTTGTTTTTTTATCAATACCTTAAATGGTTCTAAATTCTCTAGATTACTCTCAAATCTCCAGTTTTACTGAATATTACCTCTTCAAGGTGATCTGTGAGACCTACTACTCAACAGTGATCCTAGGACTTCTCTTCCCTCTATCTCAAGTAAAAAAGCCACTATTTTCTAAATCCACTGTCATTTTCTGGAATACATTCTCTAATAACTTCCTAAAAGAAAGGGTATGTCAACAAGTCAATCTTCTACATCCTTACATACCTGGAAATGTTCCTTCTAACTCTCACACTTCACTTACAGTTTGGATGAGTATAAAATCCTACATTGAAAATAATTTCTCCTCAAATTTTTTAAGACACTGATTCATTATAGTCTACCACCCATTGTTAGTTGTATGAGTTGTATGAAGACTGATAGCAATTTGATGTTTGTCCCTTTGTAGGTAACCTAGTTTTTCCTCTCTACAAGATGTTCAAATCTGTTTTTTCATTCTTGGTATTTTGAAATCACAAATGGTATATTTAACGGAGTATCTCTTATATTTACTGTCCTAAGCACTTCTTGAGTTCTTTCAGTCTGGAAGTTCATGACTTTCAGTTCTGGAAAATTCTTTTATTTTTTCTTTAAAATTTTCCTCCAATATATTTTCTTTAAGTTCTTTTTCTGGAACTCCAACTAGTTAGATAATGAACCTCCTGCATAAAGGCACCGTATCATTTTTTTTTTCTTCTGACACATTCCTTCTCTTTGGTACTGTTTTACATCCTGGATTATTTCTCCAACTTTACCCTCCAAATTTCCTCCTACAGACTTTAAATTGTAACCATCATTAGATTTCCTTAATTTAAACAGACTCATTTTTGGTATCTCATTATTCCATTCACACAGCATGATATGTTGATGTTTTAATGTTACACATATTAACTCTCTCTGAAAATATACATTATAGATTTTATATTTTTCCTAATTTTTTTATTTTCTTCCAAAGTTTTTGTTTTTCACTGTATTTTTTTCATGTTGAAGGCATTCCTCAACTGTCTGAGGATTCCTGAATCCCCATTAATATATAAGAATAAGGCCATAAACAGATTAATTGGGAGCTCTATGAGCATGTTTAGACTTTGGTGACTGACAAGTTTTCCTTTAGGGTAATTAAGTGATTAGATAGTTGTCTCAAAGAGGAAACTTTAACTTCCAGGATGCAAAGGTCATTGCTCCAAAGTCATTTAATTCTTTAGAGGGGGGAAAAAAAGGTAGCAATTCTGTTTCCCTACCCCAACTTGGCCCTAAGGTTTGGTGATTGGCCTGAATGGAAAAACTGCAATTAACTCCTTTATCTGCATTCTCCCAAAGTATCTCATTCCCTACTCTCTATTTCACACCTTGCATATTCAAATTCTACACCTCTCTAGGATTCAGGGGGTAAGGGGGCAAGACAAGCTAGACCTTTTATAAGGTAGAAAATAATTCTGTTTTAACTGCTACAGTTTTTTAAAATGTTTTACAAATAATCAAGTGTACACACATACATAAAATATATAAAACAAGAATATCACTAAATAATACTGATCCTACAAGACATTCTCTGATATTTTCTCTTGTATTTTCTAACGTTGATAAATGATTTTACATGTTACTGTGATGTGTGATCTGAGGCGCATGCACATGCGCAAAACAGAAAGTAAAGCTGTGACTTGTTCTGTCATGTTTCAGTGACCACTCACTCTTCTCTGTTCTCTCCTCTAGAAAATTTTTGAAATCTTTCATTCACTGATGGCTCTTCTCTACTTTCTTTTCACTGTATTTCTCTCTTTTACGTCTTTACTATAACTTTAGTAGGATCTACCGGAGCAAAAAGAATAAACACAAGTGCTCAGGTTTGTGATCTTTGACTTGAATTCCTCTACAAGTATTTTTAAAAACCAGGAGTTTCCTAAGCTCTTTCTGGCCTGATTTAGGGTCCCTCTGCTAACTATGATGGCCTCAATTGCTGTATTTTGGGACTTACCATTAGTGCTAGGGAATTAAAAAAGGAAAATGATGGCAGTGACCATAAGAACCTATGCAAAAATTCCAATTAACTCTAAAACTAAAAGTAAAATTATGGCTATATGTTCAAAGTTAAACCTAAATACTTACTGAAGAAATGGAAATTTCTTTTCTTTCTTTCTTTTTTTTTTTTTTTACAGTCCAGGGTTTTAGAAATTTCTTTTTGAGGGAAGACTTTAGGAAAGGCTACTTCCACAGAGAAAATAATCAAAACCCAATTCTCAAATATGTCAAGAAAAATAATACTTTTATAAAAAGTAAAGCGTACTTACAAAGCAAGGCTACTCAAAACATACTGTACGTGCTCACATTCATCTGGGAATGATGCACTGGCTGATGTAAAACAGCAAAGTGCAGTCTGAAGAACCTGAAGCTGTGGCAAAGGGACCTGCCATCTTCCAGCATAATCTTCAACCACCTGATAGAGAAATAATCCAAAAAGTACATTATTATAGAAAATGTTCTCAACATCTTGAGTTTAAAAATTATGATGAAACTACTAGATAAATGAAAGCATTAGTTCAGCATGAATACAAATGATTTAGGGGGAAAAAGATTATCGTTTATTTTCATAGTATACATCTGAAAATAAAAATAACTATCTTTGAAAATGTGGAAAAGAAATATAGTATATGAATAATTACTGTCCAACTGCCAAATCTTTAATAAACTCTAACAAACGTCCTTCACCTCCCATATCCAGCCTTTGTCAAAACATCAATTATCAAAGATTAAAATAGCTAGACTGTAGAATGTAGTAATAAAAAAAATTATAAATGAACATGATTATTATCATTACTATTTATTAAAGACTAAATTCTAAGCATTCTGGCACCAATGGGTATTAAAAAGATATAGTGGCATGAAGCTCCGATTATAAAAGTTTAAGCTGTACAATAAGATGGAGAAGAGTCCAGAATATATTTAGTCTTGGCTCTGTCACTTTACTAGCTTTATGAATTTGGATAGGTCATCTTCCTTCTCTATGCATTAGTTTCCTCACTATAAAATAGAAATAAAAATGCTTATCTTGCAGGTTTACTGTGAAGCTAAATTAGGATAATTTATGAGAAAGCATTTTAAGAACTATCAATTGCTATAAAATGTTAATTATGATCTCTCATATATAAGACTGCTATACTAAAACAATGTATATTTTTAAAATACATAATATAATACAGGTTGGCAAACTATGGCCTGCAGGCCAAATGTGGCCTGCCACCTGTTTTTGTATGACCCACAAGCTAAGAATGGATGTTACATTTTTAAATGGTTGAAAAAAATATTTTGTGATGTCTAAAAATCATATGAAATTCAAATTTCAATGTCCATAGAGCTCTACTGGAACATAACCAGATTCATCCATTTACATACTCTCTATGGCTGCTTTCCTGCTATAACAACCAGTTATATAGTTATGACAGAAATCATAAGGCTCACAAAGCCTAAAATATTTAATATCTGCCCCACTACAGAGAAAGTTTGCCAACTCTGTTTTAAAAGCTGGAAAAAACAGAAGAGAGTACAAAAGCCAAGAACACTCAGAGCTCAAGGACTTTTCACACTCATCACTTCCTCTTAGGAGACAATTTTCCATGGGTCTCTTATATTTCTACAGTTTTTCAAAAAAGGGCCCGACTGCTTTCATCTTTTCAAAGATATTCATAGGCAACAGCCTTGAAAAATAGAGATGATGTCTCCCTCCACAGCAGTGAGCCTGTTTACTATTTAGCATAATTACAATGTCATCTCCCTCTGGAGCAAGAGCCAGGCAGACACACTTGTAGACCATTATAAAAGATTAGGGTTCCCTAAGCTTGGGGCTCCTCAGCTATGATGAAAACTCACTGCGAGTGCAGGATCCACCTATGCCACTTACATCACCTTTATGAGCATTGAGGGGCAAGGGGAACCACCATGAGCATGAAGCTCATGCTGCTTGCTGTGCCATGAGTAATAAAGTCCATTATCTCTGACCCAGGAGTTTCATGTTTTCTTCCAGTATCCATGAAACTGTGGCAGGCTAACTTAGATAAAATCTTACACCCTTCATGGTTCTCTGACAATTCCAAATTGTACTACCAGAAAGTTAACCGGGAAGTAAAAATTACTACTATGACGACCCCAAATAGGACACACTTTTCTAAACTACCAAAGGCAAAAAAAAAAAAAAAGCTGGATAAACTGTGGTTACCCACCTTTAAATTTTCTCTTCACTAAGAGTGTTTGACCATTTTTATTAACCTCTTTTTGGCCACCATAACCCACTCCAATGCCACATTAAATATAGATAACTGAGAGGCTCATATTTTCCTGTCCTCCATCTCAAACAGTTGCCCTAATCCTTATCTACTTATAACCTCATTCACTTCCTATTTATGGGATGAGTTTATCTCCTTAAAAGAGAAACTTTCTATTTTCTCTGCTTCTATTCTTATTATAGCTTCCTTCATTCAGCAAGATTCTGCTACTAATATACTGCCTGATCTAGCTGAGCCCAAATGTAACACAATAAAAGTCCTTGTGGGCAACACCTCCAATAGGTTTGTTAGAATACCTATGAAGGGATAGAAACAAAATTGCTGAAATTTACTATCATTCTTATACTGTTCAATATCATGCCAGACACTGCTAATACAATGTAACATTAACCTCACACTTTAAGACTTACTATAACACTATTTCTCTTTTAAATATTTTCCTTAAAACATGTGAAATTGTACATTACATTTCCCTTTTATTGGAATTTTTTCTCCTGTGCTATCACAAGCACTCAGCTAATGAAAGTGTTCAACATGACATCATAATCTGAAGGTGCTCTACCAGACCAAAGTACAGCAAGCAACACCTCTTCCATTTTTCTTTGTCTTTTGCATTCTAATAAGTAACAGTCTCAACATAATGGCCAAAATAATGTTGAAGCTGCTGCAAACAAAGGAAAAGTATTTACCTGAATCTTTAAAATCAACCATTGCCACACTTCTAAATTCTTCAAGAAAATGGTCTAAGAAACAAGATCAAGATCAATAGCCCATTAGAGATTGGTAAATTTTTTTTTTTCATTTTGAAGAGCATAACAAATTGCATTGCATACTGCAATGCAATTTACTGTAATTTATAGAAACTATATGAATACTGCTGAAAGAAGTTACAGCTAAAGCCAAAGCATGCCGTGATATAAGGAGAGTTCAAGAGAAGGGCAGAGCTACTGCCAAAGAAAGATGCTGGAATTGTGCAATGATCCTGCAGCACTTTTTCAGCACTCCCATTTACAGGAGCATATATCCTGATCTAAAAGGGATATAGTATATGCCACATACTACCATATCTTAATTTACCAAGGCAAATTATTGTGAGAATGAGCACAGATTCATTCTCTGGCAAAACTGTCAGAAGACAGACTTATTGTAAACCCATTCAGTTAAAATTACATTCATTATTTGAGAACATTAAGATACATCATCCAAATCACTATGGACTGAAAAGTGTCCCCCTAAAATTCATATGCAATCTATGCTCTGAATGAATTTGCTAACTTTCTAAATACCTAAAGTAAACATTATAATAGACATTTAGTCTTTTCCCCACTCCCTTCAGTATGATTATGTTATTCATTTGTAACATAGCTACTATATATATAAATAATCCCCCAGCTCTGTCTACTGAGAGGGTGTAAGAGCAGTAACACCCCAGTAGCAATATATACCTTAGGGACCAAATCTTGGTTTCTAAACACTATTCTCCAAAAAAGAAACTTGGACTCCTCAAGGCCTCCTCCAGCAGGCCTAAAGCAGGGAAAACACAAGATGAGACTAGAACATTTTGTGGTGCCAGAAAGTAATGAAATGCTGAAAAAATGATGGGGTATAAAAACACAGGAGCCAACCTGAAGGAGCTCCTAAGTGCTAAAGTTGGAACAATTTAAGCCACAAACTAAACGATAGTATTAGACTTTAATTCATAGAACAAGATAAATATCCAGGAGTCCATAGTGATTCAAACAATCAGATAAATAAATGTTAGAGATAAGACAGCACTTCCTCACAGTAAAATCCCAATTAATAAACACAGAAGAAAAGAGAGATATAGAGAATCAGCATTAGGCAAATACACAGTAATGAATGCTGCAGACAAGATCCATAGATCAGTGCTAATATTTGTGGGTAAAAGTTTGAGGCAAGGGCACTGGGCGGCTCAGTCGGTTAAGCTGCTGTGTTTGGCTCAGGTCATGATCCCAGAGTCTTGGGATGGAGCCCCACGTTGGGCTCCCTGCTTCTCCCTCTCCCTCTGCTCCTCCCCCAGGCTGATGTGCTCTCTCGTTCTCACTCTCTATAATAAATAAAACCTTAAAAAAAAAAAAGTTTGAGGCAATGCAGGATTTGCAGTCTCAAATTATCTCCCCCAAGACATTTATCAACTAAAAATAAAAAGATAGTAACTTAAGAGAGTGTAGAAACCCCACAGACACAAACTTAACCAAATCATCAAAGTAAATGTCACCAGTAAGTAATACAACATATTATCATAAATCTCTTCATATGGCATACCAAGAAAGAAACAATGGCATTTTTGTGGTACTTTTGCCAAAAATGTCTAACCTCATTCCAATCATGAAAAATCATCAGACAAACCCAAACTGAGGGATGTTTTACAAAAAAACTAGTCAATATTCTTCAAATGTGTCAAGGTCATGAAAGATAAGAAAAAACTGAAGAACTGTTACACACTGGAAGAGACTAAGGGTAAATAACAACTAAATACAATGTGAGATCCAGAAATAACATCCTGGAACTCATCAGTGGGAAATCATCAGTGGAAAAACTGTTAAATTTCTAATAAGGTCTGTAATTTAGTGATTATTACACCAATATTATTTTTCTGTTCCTGATAATCATACTATATTTTCAATAAGTATGAAACAAGTTCAGCTTTTAAAACTTTAAAAAGTTTCTTCTGTTTTCACCTTTTCCCTCAAATTTCAATGTTCTAATTTATTTTCTAGAGGCTATTTTACAACATAAGTACAATTATACATTTACTTTCCCTACTTTGTTACCTAACTACACATCAAGATTTACCCTTGCCTATGGGCACTTTTTTAGGGTCAGATGGAAAAATAGGTAGATTGGCAGCACTGTAGAAAGAGTATAGGTTTTAGAATCAGATAGACCTGGCTTTGTCATTTATTAGCTGTGTAAACTTAGCAAAATTATTATACTTCTCAGTCTAAGTTTCCTATAAAATGAATTTAGTATCACCTTAATCACAGAGCGATGAGAGAAGTAAGAGAATATATTAAAATCTAGGATAATTCCTGGCACATACCAGTACACTCTAAGAAAATAGCAAAGGTAAGCTTCCTTTTCGACTATTTCATTGCATCAATGTTAACTGATTAATTATAGGTTTCCAAGTATG